TCATTTTAATGAAACGCTTTCTCGCTGATTTTCACCCTTTTTTCATGTCACATGTTTAGCAAGAAATTCTCTTTATCAGTCGGACGAGCAAGATTTCATCGCTTTCCTGGGTATTTAAAGGAGCTTTATTAGATATTCTGAAAACCGAAGCTAGCTATATAGATAATGACAAAATCATGGCCAGACTTTAAAAAAATATTCACTTAGAACTGTTTTCTCTATGTATAGCTAGTACCTGTCATCAGAATTGCTTCTCTTTTTGGCCTTTAATTAGTTTTCCTTTTTTATGAGTTAAGAGTGGAACCATATTACTTACACATTTCTCTCCTTTTTTCTGAAAAACTGTTACTTTGTTAATGTCTTTTTTTGAAATCTGTAATATTTTAAAACTTGTGAGACTGACCTGCCTCGATTATGTTTAATTAGCTACCTGCAGGTCAGTCAGATTTGATTCTAATAGTTTTTTGTATAACATAAATAAACTTGAAACTTGAAACTTAAAACTTACGGATATTTTTTATTGGCCTCATTATTTTGGGTATAATGGCATACAACGGCCTCATGGCCAATCCTAAATGTTAATAGCTTTAGGAAAAATTAAAAAGTGATTGTTTTGTTTCTGTTTTGTTGCATACACAGGAGGCAGCTGATCCCAAACGTGCTTGGCTGGAAAGAATGATTGTGGAACCGTGTTGTGCTCTGAGTTTGTGCTTTTCATTTGGTTGTATGAAATACCAGTATAGCGCTTATTCATGGCAATAAATACAAATCAAGTAATATCTCTGTACCTTTATTCCTTGCAAAGGTAACGAGAACTAGTTGTATGTGCTACCAGTAAAACTTTGAAAATATTTTGCCTATACAATCACGTTTTGCCTGAAGGACACCTTACTTTCTTTTTATGAACAATTAATTAAATAAAATTCCAATACAAACTCCCATGTTAACGGGCTCTCGCTGTTATAGACACAATCTCTCTATCGAGGTCGTCCGCATATAAAGAGTTGTACTTCCCTAGAAAGATCTTGAGGCCGGAGGGCCGTAGTTGATGTGAACACGTATGATTATTATTGTTATTATTATCGTTGTTGTTGTCGGTGATGATACTTATTATTGGGTTTACTTGTCCTCTGACTATCCATTTCAAGTTTATTACAAAATGCGATAAGTGTCATTACAAAGTGCGACAGGTGTTACATCAAGGTCGTCCGCATATAAAGAGTTGTACTTTATTGTTGTTGAAAGACCTTATTATTGGGTTTACTTGTCCTCCAACTATCCATTTCAAGTTAATGTGAACACATATAAAGAGTTGTACTTCCCTAGAAAGTATTATTATTATTATTATTATTATTGTTGTTGTTGTTGTTGTTGTCGGTGATGATACTTATTATTGGGTTTACTTGTCCTCCAACTATCCATTTCAAGTTTATTACAAAATGCGATAAGTGTCATTACAAAGTGCGACAGGTGTTACATCAAGGTCGTCCGCATATAAAGAGTTGTACTTCCCTAGAAAGACCTTGCCGCCGGAAAGCCGTAGTTAATGTGAACACGTATTATTATTATTGTTATTATAATTATTATTATTGTTGTTGTTGTTGTCGGTGATGATACTTATTATTGGGTTTACTTGTCCTCCGACTATCCATTTCAAGTTTATTACAAAATGCGATGTGTTATTACAATGTGTGACAGGTGTTACAAAGTGAGACAAGTTTATTACAAAGTGCGACAGTGGACTATTAAATTTTGGTCGCAATAAAACATCTTAGTTGCATAGATAACAAAAATGATGTATTGCCTATGGTGCCCGCTTCCCGAGCGGTAAGGCTCAGTTAATATTAACAAATACTAGTTATCCAGTGCTTGGGAATGATTTATCAAACATCCCACAAGCGGCTTAATATGTTATTCTAGTCACCACCCTAGAAACGGGTAAGACTAGGCTCCCACGCAGACGTTCTTTGCGGTTCATCACGCGTTCCTACTCCACTAACCTCTGCTGATTTGAGCGGGAAAAAAACGTAGACCAATCACAGCAGACTTGCAGATCTGGGAAGTGCACTTTGGACCTTGAGAAATTTCGTGCTTGATTTAGCTCCAGAAAAGGTGAAGATCTTACAGTTTTAGCACAAACTACTCGGTCAACTCACAAGCGTTCATACTAAAGGCTGCCCTCACAATCTCATTGAAAAAAAAAAAAAACAAATAACGGGAAGTTCAACGCTTCGGGGTTATATACTTGTGTCTTTGCTTAATAACTAAAACATGGCTATGATAAAAGATTTGTTTTGTATTTTAATGGATCCAGCCTTTTAATTGCTTTGTCCTTTGCTTTTCAGCCACTGGAACACGAGCAGAAGATATTCAAGGTTGGGCATACAATTTCATAATACACAGATTTTAGCAAGGCAAAAAACCAAAGCTCCCGTAGGATAGGCTCAACGTGAATTTTGGAGTTGTTGATGTACTTTTAGAACGGTTAATGAATTGAAGAACTTGTCATTTAATATCTAATTTTTACACGGGATTGCCTTTAATTCGCTGATTCATTATTGGGGCAAAAAAATATCCGTGCTTCTGATTGGACGGCTAAAACACCCCCAGTATGGTTCTATTTAAACAAATAAGGGGAAGTTCAACCCTTCGGGGTTATACACTTGTGTCTCTGCTTAATAACTAAAACATGGCTATGATAAAAGATTTGTTTTGTATTTTAATGGATCCATCCTTTTAATTGCTTTGTCCTTTGCTTTTCAGCCACTGGAACACAAGCAGCAGAAATTCAAGGTTGGGCATACAATTTCATAATACATAGATTTTAGCAAGGCAAAAAAACAAAGCTCCCGTAGGATCTTATTCGAAAAGTCTTTCAGCAGTAACTCAAAATTTGCCATAAGCAAGAAGTCAATTCTATTCCTCCTAAAAATGTACCTGATCCGGTGATCAATTGAAAGCCATGAGCTCTAGATACAGACATATTTATAACACTGGTCAGCGTATACCCGATTTTTAAAATGGTCAATTAACCATCATCACATATGCCATAAACTCCATGTTTGCAAGTGTGACATTTCCATTCCACCAGACATGAAGTATGGACCAGCGTACGTTCATAGGGACGATTAACTTTAGGTCGCAGTAAAACATATCAGTCGCATAGATAACAAAAATGTATTGCCTGTGGGGCCCGCTTCCCGCGCGGTAGGGCTCCGATTATATTAAGAAATACTATTTATCCAGAGATTGGGAGTGATTTGTCAAATATTCCACAAGCGGCTTAATATGTTATTCTAGTCACCCCCCACCCCCGCCCCCCTATCTCTGTCTTAAAAGGCATTCCAATAAACCTAATTCTTCTACACAAGAAAAAGTTGAACGGGACGAAAAGTGTGAACTTGAAAGATGTCAATTATTATTTTTCTTTTTCGACATCCAGATCCACCAACGACATCAACAAACGACGTCAACCGACAAGAGACGGGTAAGACATGCCCGCTATTTATTCCTTTCATCTTACACGGTACAGATAAATAAATCAAATAAGTTGAGGAAAGTAATTTAGGGATCTCAGAACCAAGCTATAGTTACTTGTGACACATTACCAGCAATATATTGTAATAACGTATTGTATCACTCGCAGGATTTGAGACAAAAACGAAACCAGAAAGTTACGTAGAAGACAAAATTAACTTAAAACCACTTACTTAAAAACGTATATTATGTCTCGCAATGAACATTGAGACGGAAAACTACTACTACTTTAGATGGAAAGTGTCCACAAAGATTCGTACTCGCCATAGTGCAGGTTAGCGCATGTAAATGGCAATAGTCATCGCTCTAATACCTGCAAAAATATTTTTTTTGTCCGTTGATTAGGTTAGTCAACAAATTTAAACGGTTCAACGTGAATTTTGGAGTCGTCGATATACTTTTAGAACGGTTAATGAATTGAAGAATTTGTGATTTAATATCTACTTTTTAGACGGGGTTGCCTTCAATTCGCTGATTCATTATTGGGGCAAAAAAATATCCGTGCTTCTGATTGGACTGCTGAAACACCCCCAGTATGGTTCTATTTAAACAAGGAAGGGGAAGTTCAACCCTTCGGGGTTATACACTTGTGTCTCTGTTTAGTAACTAACACATGGCTATGATAAAAGATTCGTTTTGTATTTTAATGGATCCATCCTTTTAATTGCTTTGTCCTTTGCTTTTCAGCCGCTGGAATACGAGCAGCAGAAATTCAAGGTTGGGCATACAATTTCATAATACATAGATTTTAGCAAGGCAAAAAACCAAAGCTCCCGTGGGATCTTACTAGAAAAGTCTTTCAGCAAGTTACCCAAGTCACCTCAGACACCCAAGACACCCTAGTAACTTAAGTCAGCCAAGTTACCACAAAACGCCCTTGTTGCCCTAGTCAGTCAAGTCACTCTAGTGACCCAAGTCACCCTAGTCATTCAAGTCACCCTAGTCACAGATCGCCCTAGTTGTCAAAGTCACCCTAGCCACTCTAATCATCTTAGTCACGCTCGTCACTCAAAACACCCTATATTCTAGTCACCCAAGTCTCCCCAGCCACCCAATTAACCCTAATCGCCTTATTTACCCTAGCCGCTCTTCTCACCCAAGTCTCTCACGTCACCCAAGTCTTCTTTTGTCACTCAAGTCACTATTGTCACCTAAGTTACCCTAGTCATCCAAGTCACCAAAACTTAGTCGTCCAAATCACCCTAGTCACGCAAGCTCCCCTAGTTACCCAAAACACCAAATTTACCCATGTCACCTAGGTCTCCCTTGTCGCCAAAGTCATCCTATTTCCCCAAGTCACCGCAGTCACTCAAGTTACCCTCGTCAGCCAAGTCTTCCTAATCACTCAAGCCACCCAACTCAGTCCAGTCACCCAAGTTACCCTAATCTCCTTAGTCACCCTAGTCACGTAACTCACTGTAGTCACTCAAGTCACCCTTGTCGTGCCAGTTATTCAAAACACC